TAAAATTTCAGCTTCCCAGCTTTTGTGGTTCACGAGTTGAAAGTGCGGGACAAAGCAACTGGGTATAAATACCCAGTTGCTTTGTCCCGCACTTTCAACTACCCAGTTGCTTTGTCCCCCACAATACCCAGTTGCTTTGTCCCGCACTTTCAACTCGTGAACCACAAAAGCTGGGAAGCTGAAATTTTAAAAGGAATTTTCCTGCTCGATGCGACCCCGCAAGTTTACCCCGGATACAACGTAACAGCCTCTCTCTGGGTACCGCGTACGGCCTCGCGATAGTTTTGATGGGAAAAATTATCTCGAAAAGCATAAAAGCTAGCAAGCTAAAATTTTAGAGGGATGTTTCCACCCACGTGCGATTTCACAAATTAAAATTCAGTCTTTACATATTCTTAAGTACCACGTAGGACCCCTCGAAAGTTTCTAACGGAAAATTATTTTAGCTGGGAAGCTACAAAAGCCTGGAAGCTGGAATTTTAGATCTGCCCACGTGCAGCCCTGCAGTTAAAATTTCAGCTTTCACGTACACCTGGGCCTCAAGTACGGCGTCATGGAAGTTTTAGCGAGAAGGATTATTATCTCGAAAACCAGAAAAGCCAAGAGGCTGAGATTTTAAAATGATGTTTTCTGCCTATGCAAGGATCTCACAAACTCAGGATGCTTAGGTCTCACGTACAGTGATGTGAAAATTTTGGCGCGAAAGTCACTAAATGTAAATCGGAAGCCAGAAACAAGGAAGCTGAAATTTTTTGAAAGGTTTCCCCCGTCCAAATGCGATCCAAAGGTTTTAAATGGAACTTTCACATTTGCTTACGTTTGGCCTACGGTAAAATTTTTGGTAGAAGATTTCGCGACTTAGGAAGCAGACAAAATATCAACTGTTTTTGCACACATCAAAGTGTAAAACGGTGAAAATTCTTAACAGCAAACGTCCACTGGACGGAACAGCGTAAAACGCACAATCGCACGGCTGTCCAAGTGCGCACCGATATTTATTTAGAAATTGGTATGTCTTTTCTTCAGTTTCCGTTGTTTGTTTTTCTTTTATGTTCTAAAGTTTATAAATGCAGGGAAATGTGTTTATAAGCAATATCTTGTTCAGGAACCCCAGCACATATCAACTATGCTGCACTACAAGACGACTTATTAAGCATCGGTGGTGTTCGAACGTTGCACAGCTTACATGTATGGTCATTGAACATGGACAAAACTGCTTTAGCTGTTCATCTGGCTGTCGGTTGGTTTGCATCAGTTTATTTGCGAATACGCTAATTTTCATTATACAATGAAAATTCTTCTAGGACATGTTAAAAGTCTTTTGTTCTTGGATTCAGTACCTCTGTATATCTTTGTATTCTGCATAGAATCTGAAATAATGAGAACATGGCTTCGATACACAAGAAAAAAAGGGCAGTTACTAAAACTCGGCTCGACTTGGCTGGTGTCATACACGATTTGCGAAAAATTTTTTCGGTCAATGGCGGATGACACTACTTCACTGTGGTGCGAAGGAGTTTCAGTACCCCAAGTGAGATGAGGATGAGGGGTAGTGTGTGCGATTTTCGTATACAGGGATTCGAGGCAGAGGAGGGGGTTGAGTGGGTAGATTGAATGGCTGCGTGGCGTAGATGTTTTGTAGGTTAATTATTAGGCTCTCTCACTAATACCTTGTTCCCTTCCTCTGATTTGTGCCTCATCCCCCGCACACGTCCCGCTTCTTACCCACCTCCCCCACCCCTCCCTCTGTAACCACGTTGTTCAGCCACTGAGCATATAGTAATGCTACCCAGCGCTCGCCCGGTAAAATTTCAAGCAGTGCCGACGAGCGACGGCGCGAAATAGCATTAGCAGAGAAGCCAGAGCGTCTCTTGATGGCGGTCGAGCCGAGCCGAATTTAGTAATTGTTTGATTACCGCATTTGAGATGCGTCTGGGTAATAGCATCATTGGGTTGAAGTTCTCCCGCATTGATTTTCGTTCCTGTTATTGTATTTCTACACAAGAAAAAAGGGCAGTTACTAAAATTCGGCTCGGCTCGGTTGGTGCCATACACGATTTGCGAAGAATTTTTTGGGTCAATGACAGGTGATCTTACTTTACCGTGTATCAGACATATAAGAGAGAGTTCCGTGCGTTTGTTC